TTGCAACTGACTAGACAGAACCTAACAACAACAAAAGAATTACATGTGTAGTCTACCAGCACCATAGCTGAGAAGGCTAAGAAAACTTCCTCTCCCAGCTATTTTATACCCCCAGCCTAAGTGACTAATTGCATCTTTTTAACCTTGCTTACAAACATCCTACTGCATCGTCCACCCTCCCCGACACCTATGCACCCACAGTGACTTTCTGAGGAGAGGGTGTGGTTAGCCCAGAATTGTATCTTTTTAATTTGCTAATAAAGATCAGACCTCAGTGCGAGTGGTGGTTTGTTCTGAGGCCTAAAGAGGTTACCTGGGAGAGAAGCGAGAAAACCATGGCTGCTTGGCTTGTTCAAAAGAGTTGCTCATCACACCTGTCATTATCATGGTCATAGATTTTTATTTGTTGTTGTGTCTGACTCATACTGACCCTATAGGACAGAGTAGAACTGCCCCCAGAGGGTTTCCGAGACTATAATCTTTACAGAACAGATCACCAGGTCTCCTGCATAATCTCTGATGGGTTTGAACCGCTGACTTTTGGTTAGCAGCCGAGCTCTTAAACACTGCGCCTCCAATGCTCCCTAAGTTTCCAGTAGCTCCCCAGATAGATACCTCAAGCTGAAGTCCAGCCTCTGGTTTCCATGGTTCATTAAAATTGGGTTCCCGCAAACAGTTCCAGCCCTCCCTCCAAGTGTGAAATAATCCTCTGCTTTAGCCACAGTCCCTTAACCCTTGGCTTTCTTTGGCTTCTTAAACCTTTTTTAGGCCATGTACCCCTTGAAAAATCAGATAAAAGTGATGAAAACTTTCTCTAGACCAGACTGTCAAAATTTTGCATACAGTTTTAAGGCGTTTATGAATCCCTTGAAGCCATGGACTCCAGGAAATAACCGGGATCTAACCTGGATGATCAAATACAGTCTTAGGTTTCGACCTCAAGATTTCTCAGCAGTGGCATTATCAACATTTTAGGCTGGACAAATCTTCGTTGTGGGGTACTGTTTTGCTCCTTGTAGGATTCTTAGCAGCATCCCTATCCTCTACTCATGAGATGCCAGTAGCACCCCTGCCCCCAGTTATGACGACCAAAAATATCTCCAGACATTACCAGATGTCCCCTGGGGGGCAAAATTGCCCCAGTTGAGAACTACTTTTTCCTCACACTTCACCCTTCTCAAAACAATTTCTTTCCTGTTATTTAATTCATACTCTACCTTTTCAGGAAACCCTGGTGGCATAGTTGTTAAGAGTACTGTCCAAAAAGTTGGCAGTTCGAATCCATCAGGTGCTCCTCGGAAACTCTATGAGGCAGTTCTACTCTGTCCCGGAGGGTCGCTATGAGTCGGAATTGACTTGATGGCAACAGTTTTTTCTACCTTTTCAAGTTCTACCTGTTTCGCGTAAACTTCATGAATTACTAGAGGCCACATGACGCTCTCCTTTCTCCCTTCCATATTGACTGCACCACTGATCTTGACAATTTTTCATATGTTGTCTTGTATTGCTATTAAATGTTCATAACCTTCTCTTGCCTCCCCATCTGGATTATGTGGTTTGAAGAGAAAAAAAATAAGTGTTATATATCTTATATTTGTTAATCACATAGTTGTGGTAAGTACTCTCTTTTAAACTTTATATTATTGGAAGTTTCAAATGTACACAAAAGTAGAGAAGATAGTATAGTGAACCCTCAGGTACCCATCATCCAGTTTTGGCAATCATCAACTCACAGCCAACCTGTGGTAAGTACTTTGATGAGTTTTTTTTAAACCTGTGCTATTTTTTTTTTAAGAATATATCTTTAATAATTTTTTAACTCGACAGTCTAGACTTTAACTACCTTTATTACTTAGCTAGTTACAATTTATTAAACATCTAAAATGTTCCAAGCACTGGGCTGAGATAATATAAATAAGCATTTGCTGTATCAGACTCCTTGCAATTTCCTAAACAGGCTTGGCTGTTTCACACTTCTATGCACGATACAAGATGCATATAATTCTCTCTTCCTTGCCTGAAATGCTTTCTCCATATTCACCTCCACTTTGCTCCCTTGGTCATTGTCTATACTCAGCCCTCAAGTCTTACTTTAAACACCTCACGTTGTAAAACCTTTCCTGAACCCTGAGAGTAAGTTGATTGTTCCCAATCTTTAACACAATTGTTCCTGTCTTCTATTATTGCGCTTAGCCTAGAGGTGTAATTACTCTTACATGACTCTAATTCACCCCCTGGTGGTGCAGTGGTTAAGCTTTGGGCTGCTGATTGAAAGACTGGCAGTTGGAACCCACCAGCCACTCCGTGGGAGCAAGATGTGGCAGCCTGCTTCTGTAAAGATTACAGCCTTGGAAACTCTATTGGGCAGTTCTACTCTGTCCTATAGGGTAGATATGAGTCTGAATCACTGGACGGCAATGGGTTTGGTTTTTTGGGGGTTTTCTAATTCACCCACCCACTGAAATTAATTCAGTGTGGCCAGGATAGAGAGGTTTGAGTTGAGTTGCAGCAAGAACCTGGAGAGAGAGGCAGGGGCTACATCATGAAAGGCATTACGTGTCATTCTTGGGAAGATGGACTTTATCCTGAATGCTTTTACAAGACAACCTTTAAAACTGTACATATCTTTTGAAACATACTTTTCTTATTCAAAAGCAATACACATACAATGTCAAATTTTTAGAAACTGCAAAAATGTGCAAAGAAAATAATTCTTAATTCAACTACCTGGAGACAACTATTTTAAACATTTTAATATATGTTTTTTCAATCTTTCTTCCTATGCATATAAACATGAACGCATATTAAAAAAGAAAAGAAGGCTCACACTATATATATTTATTGCTCTGTAACTCGACTTTTCATTAACACTTTCAAGATCAATCAGTTGCTTTCTAAAACATGATTTTTGAAGGGCTGCACAGTATTCTAGCCTATGGGTATGTCATAGGTTTTTTAATTCCTTATTGCTGGGCATTTAGGGTGTTTTAGATTTCTTTGCTATTATAAAAACATCTATTAAATAGTTTTATACAGTAATTATTGTATGTACATGTAATTATATACTTAAACCTAAAAGTAAAATTTTTATACCAACAGTATAAAAATTTGTAAGATTTTTGATGCAAGTTATCAAATTACAAAAGTAGTGTCAGGTTACAGTCTCACTTTCCCTATCTGAGAATGCCGACTTCCCAGCTCTTTCATCTACACTGGATGAATCTTTACATCTTAGTTTCTTAATTTGTTTTTTTTTTGTTGTTGTTACTAGTGAGATTGAATTTTTAGAATGTTTTTATTAGCCATTTATACTTTTCTTTTTCGTGTGTGAAATTTCTATTCATGTCCTTTGCTAATATTTATTTTCTAGTCATCAATTTGCCTTTTCATTTTGTTTATGGTATTTTTGACTTTCATACAATTAAATTTTTATGTAGCCATAAAGAAGCCTTTATGGTTTCTTCCTTTGCTTTTGAGCTTAGAAAGTTCCTTCCGTTCTGAGATCAGGTCTGTAAAACACCATGTATTTTTTTCCCCTAACTTTATTATGGTTTTATTACTTGGGGATTTTATTATGATATATACTGTGGGATAGAGTCTAATATCCACTACCTAATACAAAGAACCTAACCAGTTTTCAGGACACAATTTATTGACTATCTGTCCACTGATTCACATGCTACCCTTATCATAATCACTCCGATCATCTTCCTGGGATCTCATCTACTGAGGGTTATAGGAATGGGGGCATGTGAAAGAGTGAATAGACACTATAGACAGACCTACGAAAGGTGTGAAAATTTGGACCAGGAAGTGGGAGAATAGGAAAGGAGTCATGCCTTTAACATTATTGTGATTATTATAGACTTTTAGTAGTGAATTAACTAAATATGTGATTTTAAAAATATAGTAGCCATTAAGATATATAAATGAAAAATAAAAGGACAGGAAGAAGTAGGGCAATCTTCTCCAAAGGATTTTGATTTTATAAATATAATGTCACAATTATGTCATGACCCATCTATCACATGGACTATTGTCTCTTTAAGTAGCACTCAGGTATAAGATTTGAGAGAGGGAAGTTCAAAGTAAGCTCGCGAGTCTTCGAGGATATTTCTGAGCGAGAATGAAACTTCATTTTTTAATCTGGTGCCCTTCACTAGCGCAGCATTGCCCTGCCATTTTCTTGTAACGTTAGCTTTAGCAGCTAAATCAGTTGCTACTGTGGGAAACAAGCTTGAATCGTTCTTGCGAAAAAAATACCTTCTGCGCCCATCTTGAAGACAGCGAGTTAAAGGCAGCCAGGAGATTCCTCTTTTTTTGCAAAGGACGGTTATACACGGGAACAGGGGTCTGGAGACGTTACGCCGCAACAGAAAGTTATTTTTTACCGTAACGGTGGTTTCGTAAGTGGGAAAGATACAAGAACGAAGAGTACGCGTTAAACCACAAAAACTTCCCGGGGTCTCTTGTGACCCCCACGATGGGACCCCCGTAAGCCCCACCGCCGGCCCCCAGCCGCGAGCCCGCCGCGCGCCGGCAGGAGGCGCGCAGCTTGTAAACGCCTCTGGCACCGCCCCCTCCCGGGGATCCGTCGCGGTTACGTAAAAGGGGTCTAGGGGGTGGCGCGGGGAAGGCTCCGGGGTTAATTGCCGGAAGAGGAAGCCTCTTGCTGGCGTGTGGGATTGAGGCCGGGGCCGCGCGCTAGCGACTGTGGGGCTGCAGGTGTGCGGCGTTAGCACCTGGCGCGCGATGTCACCTGGCGCGAGCGCCCCGGGTTAGCGCAGACCAGGCAGCGGGGCCCCGGCGCGCCCTTCCGCGCCCCTCCCGGACCCTTTGGTTTGACTGCTTCAGCCGGGGCTGCTATGGAGCTCCTTCGGCTGCTGGTCCTTGCGGTGCTTGCCTTGGAACAGGGGGTGGCTGGACCAACCGAGACGGTTGGGAACTCCAGTGAGGGTAAGGTCGGGGACGCTACGCTTCTGCAACCCAAAGTTACTTTTGCGTTTCCAAGGGTCTTGCAAGGTCAAAATCCGCCCAGGGGTCTGTTTTAGGAAGAGAGGTGGTGCCAGGGGGCTATGTTTGACGCTGGGTGGTAACTTCAGCACCTATACGAATGGGCCAGGGTCCTTTCCTGCAGCAGGAGACTCCCATCGCTAAGGAGGCCTTACTGTCAACCTCCCAATTTAGTCTGGTGAAATGAGATAAAGAGCTGTCTTTTTCAGACACACGGTTATCTCCCTTTGGGGGAAGCCATGTTTGTAGCTTTAATGTAACACACGAAAGCGCCCCTTTGCTCTCAAGTGGCATATCTGAGCCTCTGGACAGCAAGGCTTGGTGCAGAATTCAACCGTTTATGATTAGTGGCTTTCCAAGCAGCAGCGGATTTTACACTCCAGAATCTAGGTGCTTTTCAAATTGGTTGTGTTCTGTAGCGTTCGAGAGGAAGAGTGAACCCAGAATGAGACTTCAGATCGTAGGTCATGTGCTTGGTGCATGGGTTTTAGCAACAGATAGTGGTTTGTTAATATAAAATGTGAAAGCATTAATTGTGTATACCTATAATCATGTGCTTTTCTCTGAGGGTAAACACATTTTCAGTTTTGTTTTGAGCCTGAGACTAGTTGCAGTTCCAAAGTAGTATTTTCTGAATAATGCGATTGTGTCTCTAAATGCTTATCTTTGAAAAGCTCTTGTGCAAACTGAACCCTAGAATCTTTGCATAGTTAAAGGGTGAAAAGGGAAGTTATATTTTTTCAGGGAAAAAGAAAAAAAAGCCTTGTTTATAATAAGGAGTGAACATTTCACTGCCTGCTCTGAGTGCCAGGTACTTTTTGTGTGCAGTGTTGTTTAATCCTCACAAGTCTCCGAGATAATTGTTGTCCTCACCTGGCAGAGGCTGAAGCGGAAGATGTTCATTACACAAGCGAACTGCTAATAGGGGCATGGGCAGGATCTGAAGCCCAGATATATCTCCCTGCAAATGTCATGGCCCTTCTACTTCAACAAAGCTGCCCTCCAGTAAGAATATTGTGCATAATATGGTGCTTTATACTTCACACTTAGTATGTGAGTTCTCATTCCTCAGAAAAGCCTCGTGAGGGAGGTAGAAGAGATGCTGTCTCATTTTAACAGGTTAAGAATTTGAGAGACTGAATTTGTAGCTGATCTGGGCAATCCCTGAACCACAAGGGCTGGGATGCAGATCTTTTTATTTTTAGTTTGATGCTTTAGTATTCAATAACATCTGGAAAATTTTACACAAAAGTTGAGAAATCTAAGTCATAATTTGAGAAATTAAATTTTTTTAGGTACTATTTCTCACCTCTTTTCTGTGATTACAGCACTGGTATTTCCTCTGCAGGGTTATTCTTTTTGCCTTGTGTTAATATTGCTCTGTGCAGGAGAGGGACGACGTGTGGGAACGTATGTAACTACTGTGTGATTAAAAAGCTGATATCCTCCACATCTAAAAGATAAAAATCAGTAGGGAGATTAAGAAAGGTTTCGTTCAAAACTTGCATCATCCTCCTGGGAAATTGCTGGGTTGCTGATTTGAGGATTCTGATAACTATACAGACTGAAGGATTGAGTAACTGTTATAATTCAGGAGAATTCTCTCATCCTTAGCAGGATAAGGTAACTTGCACAATTTGAGTAGTGGCTTGAAAGCTAAATGATTCATTGATGGCAGATCAAGTTCCTAGAATGTCTGAGGAAAGTGCTTTCTGTGACCAGCAGCTCAAAGGAGATGAACTGGACATTTAAAGTTTTCCCTTCTTTTGAAGTCACAGTTCTCTGCTATCCTTATCACCTTTTGTTGTTTTAGATTCATGTCCAGTAACTTACGTGGAATTACATAGTAATTGGAGTAGGGCAGATTGTTATTTTGACCTTCTAATGTTTGTGCTATTGATAGTCCTTTAAGTAAGGTACCAGGCCACTTGTGTAGTTAATTGCAAATGATCTCCTTCTCTCTAAAGTATGTGGAAAGTAGTGTGTTCATTTTTGTGTTTCCTTTCAGCTTTTAGGGCTAACGAAAATTCGTAAGATAAAAATGAGAAATTGGGAGGGGCAGTTGAATGCTGGTCAGCTCAAGTAGCTAAATCATTTTTATTTTTAATATTTCCTCTGAAGAAGATTATGAAGACCAAGCTAGGACACATCTCTTCTAGAATTTGGTTACTGCACTGAAGCTTAAACAATGGAGGTAAATTTCAGATAATTTTTAGTTAAATAGTAAGAAAGAAACAATCGAAGATTTTTAAGGTTGCAAGGTTAGGATCTGATTGGGGCAGAAAAAGGAAAAGATTGGGATTGGACTCTTTTTAGAATAGAATTATTGGAAGGAAAAAGTAAGTCTGAAAAATAGAAGAGAGTACCTTACTGTGGGTCAGATGGCAAAAAATAATTTTGGTAGAAAAAGGAGAACCACTGCTTTTTAGAGGGAAGCTACAGCGTGTGTAAGGGCTTGGTCTTGATGTTTGCTATTTGGCCTTTAATACCATTTGATGTGCTGTCTTTTTTCCTCCTACACCCAAAGTCATAAGATCTAATTATGCCTCATAAAATGTTTCTAATGAAATCCTTTTCCAGATGACTTGGAGGTGAGGTTTTAAATGAATAATTTCTTTTATAAGGATCAGCACAAAGCTGGTTCCTATGAGGCGGAGGTTAAAGATGTCCCACATATCCAACTTTTCCAAACTGCTGCACCATTCCATCATCTCTAACATCAACTACTACCCTCCCCTCAGTACTCTCCCTCCTGTTTTTGGGTTCCATAATTCGATGCGATGTCTCACAGAACTAAAGAGCCATACCTAGTTAAGTGGTTTACTAGGGAAGTAACAGTGCACAATTCGGGATCAGGATCAACTTGGAAGCAACAGGCATAACAACTCAGGATGCAGTTCTTTGACCAGGACAGCTTCTCGTCCTTCTCGTCCTCTGCTGCCGGGCCCTGTTGGGGGCCTTCTTGGGCAAGTGTTACACCTCCTAGCTTCACAGGTTGGCAGGCCCCACCGAAGGCACCTTGTACCAGTCTCCTGGTTCCTGCCGTCTTGCACCGCCGTCTCTTGCTGTCTTCTATGTTATAGCTCCTTGCTCTCTCTCCCTTTAAGCATAGTGTGATGGCAAATCTGACCAATCCCCTTATTAGTGTTCCACAGACCTTATTTGCACGGCCCCACTCCCACAAGGGTTCCATGCACCTTATTTACATTATTAGCAAGCTATCCAATCTCCTTGATGGACCACAGGCACCTCATTTGCGTAGTCCTACCCAATCATTTGGTGGGAGTTACAAAGAGTATGGCTAGAAGGGCCATATTAAGTAATTCACTGCACTGCAGCTTCAGTTCCTATTAACTTCTTCAGGGTATGTTTTGGGTATGTGCCTTCCATTGCCAAATCTGTTTTTGTGAGTAGAAATTAAATGCTATTTCTGCCAGACTGTACTGTTATAGTTGTTTTGACTACAACTTTCAGTATTTTTCACTGTCATGTCTATGGAAATCTCTTCCTCAATTTTATGCTTATCATGTGCCAGGCATTTCTGTGAGTGTCTCTCTTCCCTTTTCCCACTAGTTTTTTTGAAGGGCCGTAAGGAGTCCTGGTGGTGCAACAGTTAAGTGCTTGGCTGCTAACTGAAAGGTTGAAGGTTCAAACCCACCTAGCCACTCTATGGGAGAAAGACCTGGTGATCTGCTCCCCTAAAGATTATAGCCAAGAAAATCCTATGGGGCAGTTCTACTCTGTAACACATGGGGTTGCTATGAGTCAGAAATTGACTTGACAGCACCTAACAACAATAATGAATGTAGTGAATATCTTGCCTTTTTTTTTTTTTTTTTAAAATACGGAGATGAGCCTCTGAAGCATTGGAAGGATAATAGATGTTAATAATGATATTTTATTGTGTAGCATTGGGGTGCTATTAAAATTCTTTCCTATTTGTTTGATCCTTACAGCAACCAAGTGAAGTACATAGCATAGTCACCTCCATTTTACCATGTGAGAACTGAGACCCAGAGAAATAAACTCATGCTATCTGGTTTTATTAATTAAATTTCAAAAGCAGGGAAAGCCTGTCTGTGGTGTTAGAAGTTAGGAACATGGTTACCTCTGGGGTGGAGGGAAGAGGTAGTGACTGAGGAAGTCTGAGATGCTAGAATGCTTTCTTGACCTAGTTGATGGTTTCACGGGTGTGTAAACTTTATGTAATTTGCTGTATGCCTACGGTCTTTTTTTAATAGTAGATTAATATTTATTAATGTAGTAGTTAATATCCATTTAACTATGCCATGAGTATTTTTTTTCTTTTTCTTTTTTGTACTTTAGATGAAGGTTTACAGAACAGATAGTTTCTCATTAAACAGTACATATTGTTTTATGACAATGGTTAACAACCCCACAATATGTCAACACTGTCCCTTCTCAACCTTGGGTTCCCTATTACCAGCTTTCCTGTCCCCTCCTGCCT